TGAGGTGGGAGGGAGGGAGGGAACACGAAATGTGGGTAACAGAGGAGCGAAGTGCGGTTTGAGTCTCCACATTCTAGTACCACCTGGGCGGAAATGGGCCATCGATTCACTCATCTACCCTCCTGTGATGGAGATGTTTCCGCCCCTCCCATCAGCTCGTTGCCTGCACGTCTCCCCTTCACACTCACCGCCGCAGCGGCTGCAGCCATGAAGGATTTGACTGGCTGCCCCTGAGTCTCGCAGAGACCCGTGCTGCCCAAAGATGTTTTACGTATTGCGGAGGCATTAGATTTTTATTGTTGGGTATGTGTAACCAAAGTATCCTCCTTCCCTTCCTCGGTCCTTCCTGATGATCAATGTACCTCATAATGCGTCGTGCAAGAGCGGAGATAGCCTTAGAAGCAGAACCAGTAGGAGCAACCATGATAGAGGTGAAGGATCTGCCGCCAACATGTTCATAGTGCGTGGAAAGGGACAGGGAAATAGGTGGGAACTCGTGCAAGAACAAGACCGAGAATCTGAGCAGATCAACCCCAAGAAGCATCGCTTGGCGCCAGAAAGAAATACCTAAACCACCTGCTACCACTCCAGTGGCCACTTTTGACCGCCAATTCAGTCCCTCTTATCCGTCTGCATACTTCCACATCCCCTTTTTTTACGACTTTTTGGCTGTATATTGTATTTTTTGCCTTTCCCTTGCGCTTGCCCCCCCCTTCGCCAACACTGCGGCTCTTGCTTGCGCTTAAAACAACGTATCAGAACGCAACGAAATTTTTTTCCGCTTCGCCCCCCGCGCGCCAGCGGGGGAATGGTGTGTGCCTATCTTGCCCGTGGAACACGCAGTATACCATGGAAATGTTTGAGGGTGTCGATGAGATTGGAAAAGACTCTGACCACTTTTGGCTTGGGTCATACACATAGCTGCTCCCTCTTGCCCCGCATGCGTCCTTTCTGTCCGGAAAATTCCCTGCCGCCGGTCTCAATCGAGCGAGGGCGTGGTCCAAGCGTTGTTGATGCATTCTTTCTCCATTGCTTGGACCTGTGAAGGACTTGTATCCGTACATGGGCGGGCGAGGAAGGGAGTGGCCCGCGACACGGAAGTGTTGGAGGAGGGGGGGAGGGGCGACTTGACGAGTGCCGTTTTTGTCCAGGAGGACAACTTCCTCCCCTGTGACGTCAGGTCCCATACGGCTAGAAAGAGTCAGTGTGCGTAGATCGTGGTTGCTCTCACCCATCACCTTTTTGATGCCTGAATATTCTGCACCTGGACAGCCTGGGCCGCCGCGGAAGGCAAAGCGCTCGGGAGATTCGGGGCACGCGCCCTCCAGCACCCACCCGCAAGGAAGGAGGAAGAAACCTGTGCAGCATGGACGCGAAAACAGGGAGCCAAGAATACCAGGCCGCGGATGGCACGGTGTTCACGGACCTGGAAGAGTACCGGAAGGTGACGGGGAGGAAACGACGGCGGGAGGAAGGAAGGGAGAAAGGCATTGGAGAGGGGTAGGGCTAGGGATAGGGTGGGAAAAGGTGGGCGAAGGAGCTTCGGAGGGAGGAGGAGAGAGCACGCAGGTGTCATGCGCGAGGAGGAAG